CCTGCACCACTCACCGGTCTCGAGTCCCACGGAGGAGCTCCGGAAGGATAAAAGGAGGAGTTACGACAGTGAAAGACGAGAGAGGACCAGGCCTGGATTTTATTTTGTGTGAGGCAGTCGTCCGCGAGGGGCTGCCGCTTTACTTTCATTTTGTGTTTGTTTATTTTATTAAAGTTTTCTTTAAATGTTCGCTGGTTCCCGCCTCCTTCTTCCCGAGCTACGAACGTTGTTACATTGGTGCCGAAACCCGGGGGGAAGAAGGAGGCGGGAACCGGCAAACATTTAAAGAAAACACAAAATGAAAGTAAAGCGGCAGCCCCTCGCGGACGACTGCCTCACACAAAATAAAATCCAGGCCTGGTCCTCTCTCGTCTTTCACTGTCGTAGCTCCTCCTTTTATCCTTCCGGAGCTCCTCCGTGGGACTTGAGACCGGTGAGTGGTGCAGGTGTCGCTCATTATCAATTACTCCACCGGCCTCGCTCCATTCCCACGGCTCTCAGCCGCCCCCACTCGTCACAACTAAATAAACGTATTAACAAACAAACTTTATTAAGAGTTTCCTGACCTCGATGTTGAGCAGCCAGGACTGCAGGTTGGCCACGGCTTCCTCTCCCAAAGCCAGATTCCAGATCACCATAAACAGAGCCTTATCCGTGAAGAAACACTGGTTTACCGTCGACATGCTGGCCGGACCACCAATATCCCACACGTTGAAGGACACTGAATCAACCTGGATCCACAGTAGAAACAAAGGCATAACACCATATTGACAACATTACTCAATAACTTTGATCAAGGCATTTTCGGACAAATTATAAAGTTGCCGAGGTGAAACTATGGTTTATTTAGTTCTGTTATGAAGCTATGGAAGCTTGTTTCTGCAACGGGATAAAATAATAAAGAAGGTCATTGCGACTTTTTTATCTCACAATTGAGAATTTTTTTCTCGTCAATCTTCTTTTATCAGAATTGTGAAATTCAAACTCAGAATTGCGAGACACAAACAGAATTGCGGAATACAAACTCAGAATTGCGAGACACAAACAGAATTGTGAAATACAAACTCAGAATTGCGAGACACAAACAGAATTGTGAAATACAAACTCAGAATTGTGAGACACAAACAGAATCATGAGATACAAAGTGAAATTGCGAAATACAAACATGGAATTTGCGAGAAACAAATTCAACATGGCAAGAAAGTCAGTCAGAAGTCAGAATTGTGAGATAAAAAGTCACAATATGAAACTTCCATATGAAACAACTTCCATATGAAACTTCCATATGAAACTTCCATATGAAACAACTTAAAATAAAATATGAAATAAAAATGGACCTCTTTCTACTAATTCCTACTTTCATTGTAAAGAAACGCAACTCTGAGGGTGAGTAAATAATGACAGAATCTTAATTTGTGGGTGAACCTTTCTTTTAAACAACCATAAACATTACTCAAGCAAATCTTAAAAAGCACACACACACAAAAAAGGCTCTCGCTGTGAGTCAGCGGTGGAGTAAGTGTTCACAGCTGCTCGACGTGGAGCAAGATCTCCTGGGCTTGTGTATACATTTGCTTCTGTCCATGATATACGTGTAAGAGGTCAGTCTGAGTGTGTATGTGTTTATGAGAACATGCCTATAGGACATCAGTGCATGTGTGTGTGTGTGTGTGTGTGTGTGAAACACTCTCTTGGGTTTTATACGTCTGGCTATGACTCAGGACTCATGATGAGAATGGAAACACTGTTAACTCATGCTAAGAAACCATGTAAGGCCACAAATAGAGCTCAGGGTCAAAGGTCAGCTGGAAATACCAGAGCTGCTACTCATTCATAAACCTGGAGGTCAAAATGTTGGCACTTTAATGGTTTCACTTTTTTTTTTCTCAGACTTGCTATAAAGGTTTTTTTCTGCCTTACTTTTATCTCGTCATGTTTACAGGATTAAAGCAAACATAGCTGTTCGCTTCCTGTGAGCAAAGCATTGTGGGACAAACCCATCTGAAGGAACGCCCTGAAAACAATCAGATAGACTGGGAATTCAGTAAAAGCTCAAACGATGAAGTCACACACTTGAATCAACATAAGATGACTTCATTTGTCCACTGTGTGTTTCAGTTACTTTCCTCACCAATACGCAGAAATATACCGACTATTATGGCAGCAAAGTTATGAATCTACTATGAAACTCATGACTTTTAATAATTGTTGAATTGCTAAGTGAGTAACTGTCAATCCTAAATTTATAGTTTGAATATTTATGTAAAGATTGAGCTAGATATAGATTTATTGCTAAATGTATGATTTATAGTTGTTATATTTAAAATACGCATCTAAATTTACATATTTTTAAATTGAATTTTTACATTTAGTTGTATTTTTCAAAATATACGTATGTACAACATATTCAAGATTTACATTTACATATGCATTTTTGATTTTACAAGTAACATTTACATATTATGCATTCTGCTAAATGCATAAATATTTGATATATTTATACATTTATTATCATTATATATTAATTGTATAATATAAAATTCACATACTAACCAATATACTAACCAGTACTAACCTAATAAAGTATGAATATTCAATTTGATTCAATATATTACTAAAAAAAGAATATTAAATTTATTTTTTTTGTAATGTTACGATATGTATATATATATATATATATATATATATATATATAACTTCATGCCATAATTACCTAAAATATAACAACATAACTTATCTTTTTAAATATATTTTTCAATATCTAGTATTAATATATTTCAAGAACATATCCAACAAATTTCAACATACCAATCAAAATGTGAAGATATATAGTCTTTTTTCCCCCTTTGCAATCAGCTCTCCAAAATATTTGGCTGCCTCTTCAATCATACAAGTAACATTTACATATTATGCATTCTGCTAAATGCATAAATATTTGATATATTTATACATTTATTATCATTATATATTAATTGTATAATATAAAATTCACATACTAACCAATATACTAACCAGTACTAACCTAATAAAGTATGAATATTCAATTTGATTAAATATATTACTAAAAAAAGAATATTAAATTTATTTTTTTTGTAATGTTACGATATATATATATAGGTATATAAAGAAAATACAACTTCCAGCAGCTGTCTATAACTTCTGATCACACTGCAAAAAAACCTGATGTTCTTCCTCAATATTTTCAACTTGTTTTCCAAAACAAATATCTAAGCATTCTTAAATCAAGATACATTTACATGAGAAGCAAAATGACTGCAGAAGCCTTGTTTTCTGAGAAATTGATAAAAATGAAGGCAGATGCTGGTTCTAGTTTGAAGCACAAACTCAATTACGATCAATTTCTCAGAAAACAAGACTTCATATCTTCATTTTGCATCTCAAGTAAATGATTTAAGTAAACGATCTTGATTTAAGTATGTTTAGACATCCTTAAGATATCCTTAGATATAGGCTATAATTTGTGGAAGGACAAATTAAGACTTTTTAAGACCCACAGAACCCTGATATGAGTGTGTGTGTGTGTGTGTGTGTGTACCTGGTATTCCCTACATTATGGGGAGCAAATGTCCCCAAAAGGATAGTAATACCAGCATTTTTTGACCTTGTGAGGAGATTTATTTGGTGCCCATGAGGAACACAACTTATAAATGACCTAGACCTAAATGAATTACTTTTTTTGAAAATGTAAAAATGCCAGTAGGTTTAGGGTAAGGGGATAGAAAATACAGTTTGTACAGTAGAAAAACCATTACATCTTTGGAATGTCCCCATAAAACATGGAAACCAGAGTGTGTGTGTGTGTGTGTGTGTGTGAGACTGTGTGTGTGTGTGTGTGTGTGTGGACTGAGGGCTCTTACAGCAGATTTCACTCCTCCGGGTCGCTCCAGATCCCAGCCGGACGTGTGGATGCTGCGGTCGGTGTTGGTGAAGGATGAGGGTTTGCTCGTCTGCAGCCCCTCCAGCAGAGCGCTCTTCCCTTGCCGTGGAGGACCCACCACCATCAGCTTCAGCAGTCTGCAGGGCTCTGCTCCTCGCAGCTCCGCTCGCAGATACGCCAGAACCGCAGCCGGACCTGCACACGTACAACTCTGCAGTTTATTGTTTGCAAATGTGAAATGTAACGCAGGGAATTCTGGGAATGTCAATTTACGGTTATTCACTGTAAATTATACATTCT